GTCCTTACGCGTAAGCATTGAAGCTCATCTTCAAACCTCCCTTCAATCTGTGGCCTCCAACCCACCATCAGTACAATCATAGATGCCAGGAGAGGTGGCATTGTGTCAGTCCACAGCCTCCAGAGCACAACCGGATGCTGCGCCTTACAGTTGAGTGCAACTTACGTGGTCATTTTTAACACCCGAGCAATTATGCTTATTTCCAAACTCCAAGAATCACCGGCTTGCCAGACAGAAAAAGTGGCAACACGGTACGCTCAGAAATGGCTAATTACTGCGACTTGTTCTCGCCTTTTCACCTTTACCACCAACAATATTTAGAAAGGGGGAAAAAATTTCCTAAACTCAGTTAGCATGTTAAAGCATTTTAAAATACAACCGTCTTGGGAGCTCCAGTTACAGATGTGAGCTAAAGTTGTCCATTAGAAAGCGTTCTTATCAAGCAGGGACCATAGAAAGGGATGACAACACGGCGGTAGGTGCGATAGCTGACACACACACACACCATGCATAGTTTATCACCCTGACAGGTGACTGGCAAGTACCCCAAAATGCGGTATTCTAGGCTAATAAGGCACTAAACTACAAGATCTGTTGGTTACATCTTTACTTTTTCTGAGATCAGGTAGATGCTAAAGTACCTGCAAAGAACTGAGTTGACCGCTGTATCACCTACAAACCTATAATCACACCTCTTTTATAGCCAGGTAGCTAATCTTTCCTTTGTTCGTCTATACTTATAACTGCATTTTCGGAAAAGGGCTTTAAAGTGCATCTTAGAGTAGCTGATCTTAATGCTAGAAAAGCTGTCCAACCAACAGCATTTGGCACACAAAGGGAGTGCACAACTGTAAATTCGTAAACCTCTTGAAATCAGCCAACTCCATTAATGTGACATTAAAGGGAGAGGTCAACTCACCTCATTGGACATCCGATGCATGACCTTCAGCCTAGCCTCCTGATGGCGATTATAAAGGGGATGGTGAGGGTAAAGCGAAGGCCATGGTGAACGCTGAAAACAATGACCAGTCTTGAATGCTTGCCTATGAAAACCTCTCACTACCTTTTCCAGCTAAACTTTCTAAATAAAAAGGACTTATCAGGTCTACTTTAGCTTACGGTCGTATAATGAGGGGATCTGAGAGCACAATGACCCGCAGAAAACTGATTTACATGAAAAAATGGTGTGAATTGTAGAGAATCACTGCCGCATCCCAAGCCTTTCTTCATGCCTATGTAAATGCATTAGCACTATGTAGAGAGCCCGATAATCAGGAAAAAAAATGTAAAATTGCAAGACATCGGGATTCGATGAGAAGTAATTATTACCTGCTAGGCCAATGGGAAAGTGTTTCTAAGCATAGATAGCTCTTACAGCCGTGATAACTGAGACGATGACTCGATGAGATTGGCAAAGGAAGCGTACACTCCTGATAGCCCCCAAATGCAGAAAATCTCCCTGGTCAATTTATGGCTTACCTTCTGACGGGCAGTGCTCTTGCATTCTCCCTTTTGATTGGCTCAGATAACATTATGTTTACCAATAGCCGCTTTACATTCAAGGTTAATTGGTTGCTATAACTACGCATGACTAAGATGGTTAAGTGAGTCATACGTCTATGCAGGTGGCATGTGTGAACACGCTCTTTTTGTATCGATCAATAAAGACATCTGCTCTAAAGCCGTTGGTCGTAGATGGTGAATGAAAATCAATAATAGGACGGTTACCTCCAGGCCAAACCAAGTTTGTAGTTGGTCATAAATCAATCAAGTTTTAATAACCAATCAGAGACATAACGAAATGCTTTAACCAATCACAATTGAGCTTCCTACCATAAATAATCTCTTTAAGTCATTAAGCATTGTGAACGTAATCTGATTGCTATTTATGTAAGCCTGACAGCTTAATTGACACACTGAAACACATAGTAAAATATTTTGAGGGAAGCAGTGTTAGAAAGTATGTAGAACACTCGACAAAGGCCTAAGAAGCATAACAAGAGGAAATGTCCGTACGCTGAAAGTCTCTGAAAACTGGAAGAGTAGAAAGCAAAGGTAAACTAACTCCCTTCTTCACTTGTCACTTTCTTACAGTGAAATATTAATGGCATGCGAATGTTCTTTGCTTTCTCTTGTGGAAGGAAAACAGTAGCTAATTTACCAGACAGTAGAGAAGTGGTGATGCACTTTGAAGTGGCGTCAGACTTGAACGAACCTGTTTCTCACCGCCTCAGGAGGCTGTCGGTTACGGTGACTGATTAAAAATGCAATACTTTGTGAGGCAATGCCTTGCAGAAGGGTGGTATATGATGCGACGCCTCAGGCTTGGTGAATCGAAACTCCTGAATGCCTTTCTCCAAGGCTCAAAATTGCTTGTTGAGGTATTTTTGTGTGATTCTACACCTATTCCTTTTGACGGACAGATAATTCAGCATTTTTATTGTAAAAGTACACAAGTTGTAACACTGTTTAAGTGGAAATGGGACTTTTGCGTTTATTGTGGGAGCTAAGGGGTGTAAAGGTGCAGATTTTAAGTCGCCTTCAGGTTTCATACATTAACAGATCTGTGTGCTCTGTTGTGGTCCTCAACTGCGTAGGAAAGTTTAATTTCAAACCTTTTTAATGTTATGCATTTCATTGGTCTGCAGAAAGAACAAAATCTAATTAGTTGAGTTTGAGAGGGTTGTTGAGGATGGCGTCTCCCAACTGCAGTTCTGTTGGGATCACAAACAGGATGTTTTATCCAATTCACTTGCACAGTGCATGTAGATGCGGGTTCTGGTCCATTTTTGACCCTTCTACACACCTAAATATTTAATTTACTTTTACAGAAAACAATCAAGAGGCTGTGCCTCACCTTAGGGTGACATACATGACATGCATTATTTATGCATTCCTCAGTGCAGAGATGGACGTCTTCTTGGCGCCATGCATGAGTATCATAAAAAAGGGAGAACCACTGCATAATAGATGATTTTTCTGCCCTAAAATCTTGCCCTACCCTCCTACCACCGTAGCTTTTAGTATGAAAAGGAAAATGTCAGCAACTCTGCGAAGCGGTGGTGAGTTGAAATTGACTGTCGAAATTTCATCACCAAATGCATGAGGAGTTGAATGCAGAAGGAGCTCAAAGGCAAGTGTCATTCTTGTTTAACAGTCCAAAGACCTCATGACACTTCGTTCTCGATGGTAAGGTGATAGGATGAATGACCTTGATCTTGTCATCGCCTTGTCAAACTGAAATGGAGACTTAAAACGGAAGACCTTAAGTTCCTCTATCAAACCTTAAATTTATCATATTTACCAATCCTCTTGTCATAGAAAAGGTCTCGAAAAGGTCACGTTTCCTGCTAGCAGAAGCGGTAATTTAAGGCACCTTCTATCCTCTAAAAAAAAGAGACAGAAAGATTTCCCGTAGGTCTCCTTTTTTTGGTTGTCTCCATAACTGTCAAGTGACTGACAACTTTGACATTCATACCGCCGTATTAGGAGGTTTGTCTTGTAGCCACAGCTACAATTTGTGTTCTTTGTGTCAACACTGACTACTACGAGGAGGTGAATGAGGCTTTTACTTTAATGGGCAATTTTTTTAAAATTTTTTTATACCTTCATTGCATGAAGGAGGAGGACGAATTGCGGATGCTTTGATGAAAACTGTTTTCTCATGCAGGCACTGGATTAGACAACCCAAAGGAGATCCTAAATACTTTTTGATTTTTGCTTAAAAATCATTAGAATTTGTAGAAAGGAGGTTTACGGTGTTAAAAGACAATTTTTTAATGCCCTGGCAACGGTTTACAGCTGAGCCGCTTCTGATTGGCTAATTGGGGTGGGGGACACGTCGAGGATGCTCGCACCCACAACGAATGCAAGACGTATTAAGGGCAGGAATTGAGGCGTTCAACAAGACCTTTAACTCCTTCAGATTGAGGTATTTTTTTGGAGAATTAAGCTCGTAGTTGTTCTTCTTGAGAGGTGTGTGTTGGATTACACAATTGGCTCAACATCTCACCGATGTGTTGGATTAGGAGTCGTCTGTTAAGGAAGCCTTTCGCCTTCCAACCATTCTTGATCGACAGGATCACAACTGACCAGTCTCATTGTCATTATGCTGTCAGTCCCTTGTGCTTCTCTTCTCCACTAATCTTAGAAATGCATTTGCAATGGATTAGAGGCACTTCGGCGATCCACCTTCTGACGCGACTTCAATGAAGGTGTGTCAAAATGTATTGTCCACGTCATTGAGTCGCTCTCACATCTTCACTCCTCCGGAGATGGAGTGTGAGTTGAACGTGGATAAAAATGAGTACAAAATCGTGTATCGAGCAGGAGGTTGATGTCGCCTGTGCGGTTCAACCTCCCAAAGCTAATGCGGAGGCATTCGCAAAGATCCAGACGCCAAGTAGGTGCAATAAACTGCACATTAAAGTGGCACGAGGAGTCAAGTTGTATCGAGGTGAGGCACGGTGGCATTCTTCTTCATCATGACTAACACAGAATCCGATTTAAACTAAACATTCAAACTCGAATGAGTGGAGAGAATGCCAATCATCGTGCCATTCAACAATGGTAAAGAAGACTCATATCTGATCGTGCGGTCGTCAGGACTCGCCTCCTTACGTCTTATGCCGTCTTTCCATCAAGTGGATGAAGATGCAAGTGGAAAAGGCAATGGAACTCTAAAAAGACGGACACTCGTTCTGTTGCATACACAGTGTGTACGAACACCTCGACCTTACTGGCATGTCATCCACCCATTCTGTCTACACAAACGTCGTCGAACTTTGCACAACACGGTGCACACGACGCAAGGTGTCACGAAGTGGAAGCATTAGAGGATATGCAGAACATCGAAAAGAATGGAGTCCATATTCAGATGGACATTCGGTGTCAGCTTGAATACCTCGTCCACTTTCCTTCTACATGTGCCTCACGGCACGGCACACTTTCTGCTCCCTATCGTGCTTTCTACACTCTCTTCCCTCCTCCCTCCATTCAGTCTACACTCCATGCAACAACGCGCGACAAGCGACGCCAACGACTACCTTCGATGTAGCACCCTCACACTCACACTCGCGGATTTGGAGCCTCTTGCATCCACTTAAGCATATGACGATCGCATCCATCGACACGTCAAATACATTCGTATCAAAGCCGCCACCACCACCACCACCACCACTCTGCACCCCGCCTCCATCAACTCGCTCCTCCTTTTTAGTCAAACACCCATCGGTGACTGTGCACACAGTGAAGATTGTGTCACTCCATCTACCATCATGTGCCACTTTACATCACGACGAGAATGTGACAGCGGCTACCTGAGAGGTGTCGTCAAGGCATGCACAAGTGGTGTATGTTGTGGCGCGTGACAGTTGGCTGCATGCGCAGCACGAGGACGTGTGCACATTGTGGAGTGTGGATGCGCAAGAAGGTGAGAGGTGGAGGGAGTGAGGTGAGGGGCAGAGACGTGAATGTGAGGGTTGGATAGGTGTGTGTTGAGGGTGATGTGGAGCGACGTGGGATGAGGTGGGGTGGGGTGGGGTGGGGTGGGTTGGGGTGGGGTGGGAGAGTGAAGGTGGGTGATGAGGTAGGAAGTGGGAGGAGGAAGTAGAAGGAAGGTAAAAGGAGGAGGAGAAGGAGGAGGAGGAGGAGGAGGAGGAGGAGGAGGAGGCGGAGATGTGGTAGACGGGATGGGAGCGTAGGGCAGAGGAGAGAAGAGGACGAAAGAGGGGAGGGAAAGGGGAAGAGGAGGGGAGATGGCAGAATCGGAGGACAAAGTTTGGAGGAAGTGGATGTGGAGAAGGGACGTCAATGTCATCCACACCTCTCCTCCCTCCACCACTCCTCCATCTCCTCACTTGAATTCGGATCCACAACCGTGACTCTTTCGGCTTCCTCTGCTTCACACTCCTTTCATTCACCATCATTACATCCTTTCCTCTACTCTCAACCTCCTCCATTTCCCTCTCCAGACCTCATCATCATCATCATCATCACCATAATCATCACCACCACCACAATCACTACGATCATCATCGCACGTGTCGACACACCGTCCCACCTCCGTTCTGTGGTCC